CTAAATTTCCTGTTACGAGCCAGTTTCTGATATTCTCCCTTGCCCTTTCTCTGGCTACCTAAGTACCATCTCTTTCTCAGTAGAACCCATTAAAGTATCTAGTATTACTTGTATGTCATCCCAGTCAGGATTCTGAGTTTTTATAACCATTTTTACTACTCGTGCCACCTTATCAGGATTTTCTCTATAAGTTCCGGCTGATTGTTTCCAAATAACTAAATATGCAGGAGAAAAAGGCACTTTTACAAATACTGGCCCTTCCACTCCTACACCTTGTCACAAGAGGGCAATCACAGTCCGTTTTTGTCTGCCTGTGTCTTTTCAAACCACGACTGGTGCAAGCTTTGACTGACTTTGAGTTCTGTGGGCTACCGGGGTCGCTGATTCATTACTACTGCTATCTTTTTTACTTGCATCCCTCCCCCTCCTTTCTATCACAGTTAGGTTTTGCTCATCTTCCGAGGAAGAGGGATTAGGTGACGATGGGAGAGGAGGATAAAGAGAGAAAGGTGTACTAGATGAGACAGGTTCAGGATTAGGTGAGGTAGGGGCAGGCAGTGGGATAGGGACAGATGAAGCAGGTGGGATAGGGCTAGGTTCTCTTGGTCTTATTGGAGCTACCTGTGAATCAATATCTGTATAATTTTCCCTACTCAGACTTTCTTTCAATGCCAAGTGTTCTAGACAATGTTTCTCACAAACCCCCCACTTATCACTTGCAGATGCTCTAAGCACTGTTAATCCACATTCATCTAGCCATTCTGGCTTTCCCCATAAATAGAAAAACAAATCAACATACGGAACTATTGGAATATGATCCCAATATTACCGGATGGAACATGCAACATGCCTGGGCTCGTCTGACCCTTGCTGCTTGACCAGAGGCGGCAACTGAGTTATTCACCTCAGAGACACCTTTGGCTAGCTGGAAATTGCAGCTAGGCACTTGAAACAAGTCCAGGCAAGCAGGAACTCAGTATTACCTCTGGTGGAAAGGCTTTAGGCGAGGTGAAGAGGAAAAGGAGATGGATTCTGCCGTAGGGTTTAATCCAGAGTTTTATTCCAGGGTCACAGATCTCTTAATTTTGTAACAGCTACAACAGAATCCCGACTGCATGATCTCAGTGTCCTTTTTAAACCGGGGAAAGGGGGGAGGGAAGGGATAGGTGTGCCACCAACCAGGTGGGAGGGAGGGAGTCTCAGGGGACAATGACACCTAGACAGGCCAATGACCCCAGGGCTGAGAAGCATCTTTTGAACTTCTGCCAATCACACTACGCCCTTGCTGGAATGTTAAGCTTGATGGACAGCACTTAGCAGGAGGCAAGAGGAGGGGAAGGGAGAAGGTATTGCCACACCTGGGGGACTGGGGTAGGTGAAACAGGATATTGCTTCACACCGCAACACGGAACCTCATTCCATTTTCCTTCTTGTTTACAAAATGACATTAACTGTGAAATAGTGTTCTATTTCAGAGTCCCTTATTTTGGCCCTTTTTCGCCATTTTCCAAGACATATTCTGACCACCATATATTACAATAGTCAATCAATTTAGCCTTAGGTAATTCTTCCACAAAATTACCCTGTTTCCAATGTGCTAATAAGCACCCCAAAGGAGAAGTTTGCAGAGTAGAGGCATTGCTGCCCAAAATCCCTTTGCGCTTCTCCATCCAAAAATACACCACAAATGCCGAACCCGCAACACTTTTAACGATTGTCTTATGGAACGGCGCCTAGACAATACCACCAGGAATTCCTTAGCCCAATCCAAGCATAGTTTTCGCTGCGTCTTATTGGCAGGCAACCAAACCAAAGCAAAACACCTTACCTTTCTTCTGGGGACATTGTGAGCGGCAGAGGCAGGTCATGGCCGATTGAGCTCCCCGAGAATCCCTCGCTGCCAATTGGAGTGTGGTCAACTCGCGAACTCACTCAGCAGCACTGACAAGTGTCCCATCTGGGTGGCCAAAATGTTAGCGTTCAGAAACACATAATCATGAAAATGATTATATGTCAGTGCTTTAATTAAGAGCTCTGGGTGTCAGGGGTATGAACCCAAATCTGACTTTGACCATACATTTGAGATGAACATGTTTTTATATTCTATCGTTATATAACTTTCATGTTAATTATTAAGCTTATATTGTTCTATTGTATACATAGATTTCAGCCAAGCATGGCTTCTTAAATTTCTAACATAGTTTCTCATTATTCTTCTTATGATTATACAATAATTAAATTACTAAACAATCATCGCATCTAACAATTATATAATTTATCATACTGCTTGCGCAGGTGCAATGATCTGGCAAAATACAAAGCCTAACATTTTCCAGGGCCCCCACTATCAGGTCCAACCCTTTTCTTTTGGTCTGCACAGTCAAATTAGCAATGAAGAGTACCTGAAACGGGCTTTCAAATATAGGCATTAATGGTCTGCTATTTTATGATTCTATCAAAACTCAGTTTCTCCGGCTAATGGTATGTATAATTGATTAATTTCTCTTTTTCTATAGCTTGCATGTTTCTCTCATCAACTTCTGCATACTCTGTATTTTGCAGGGAGTTGTATTTCTGTTAGCTAACTTAACTCCAAAAGTGCTTTTATGTTGGGAATTTAGCTGACTAGAGACTGGAAAAGTACAAGGCCGTGGCTAATTCCAAGTCCTGCACCTACGAGATAGCGTGTCCTTGGGCCTAGCTGGGTATGATAACAAGTAGACAGAGAGATGTGGGAAATAGAGAATGTAGGCCCAAAAGAATGAGGAAGAGTTGATGGTATAGTTCAACCAATAGATCGCTTGGCTTACAGAATATTCATAAGCTTATTACTTGCTGTATAAGTGTCTGATGCTCTCTTCAATAAATGGAACTTGCTTATCACTCATATTGAGTGTCCGAGTCTCCCCTCACCGACAAATGGCTCATCCCCGACAAAGGCCTCATTCTGCAACACTTTTATTCTCCTATTTTTCTGTGTATGTAACTTACTGGTTTTCTGTTCTATTTTCAAGATCTTATCTATTCATCTCTTGCCTCTGTTTCTTACTTTCACTAACAGCTTAAATACTACTTTTCTTTCAACCCCTTACACTTAAAACGAATTTTTTTCTCACACTATTTTTCAACACGATACACTTCCCTCGAAGGAGATGTGGTAAAACTTATAATGCACAATCTACATTACCTATACTTTAATTCATCTACATTCACTCTCTTTTATTTCTCATTCACTTTCACACATTCCTTCACACCCTCAAGACACAAACTGGATCTTTATTGCTAGAAAATCACGGGTCCCTGTGGCCCCTCTCACCTTGGAGTTGGCCCACAGGTCTCAGTATCTCTGGGCCTCTTGGAAGGGCCCTGACTTTGGTTGCCTCTGGTGCCCGTTCACCTGTGAGGCTGTCTGCGTGTCTCTCATGCTCTTACAGCTACGGCCCCCTCACACGTCTGGGGAACACTAGTCTGGTTTGCAGGTCACACACATACTTCAGCCACAGCCCCCACCCACTCTGGGGACAATAGCTTGGTTTAAAGGTCACACACACTTCTTTCCATTGCCCCTTCCCACCTGCCCGGGAAGCTGAGGTGGACTTTGTGACTCACTCTCACACAAACAACAAGACAACAATAAGGTACCTTTTACTTTCACATCACTTATTACAAGTTAAGTGCTACTGTCCAGTCTCAGTGCTATTGGATATCCTTCCACCTAGCTGTTTTGTCTAATCTCAGATGGTTTTGGGTATTTCACTATACTCTCTGGTACTTTTTTGAGACAGGACTTATCTGCTTCTGTATCGACCCAAAAATTCAAATTCTTTATTTAGGGGTCCCACTTCAATGTTTACCAAGGGCTTTCCTAGATGTTGCATCGGGTTTCCTAAAGTGTAAAGCCCCTGACACCCTTAATCGTCACCTCTAAGAACCCTCTCCCAGGCTTCTTGTTCCCTGGCTATTGCCTCATCGAGACTGAGTTTTCTACAACACCTCCTGACATGTCCTGCCTCTCCACAATAATAGCAGATTCGATCACTCAAAGGGACTTGAGGTCTCTCTATCTCTCTTGTACCTGACAATACTCGCCTATCTCTGCCTCCTCCTGGTGGTGGACCCACCCACTCCACACTTTCTCTAGCTACTGCAACCATGATCTTGGCCTTGGCCTTTGCTTTTTCTTCTTCCCTCCTCAAATACACTTTCAATGCTTCTCTTAACAAGTCATTTATGTCCTTTTCTTGCCAGTCTTCAATCTTTTCTAGTTTCTTCCATATATCTGGCCAAGATTTGGTAACAAATTGGACTTTTAGTAGCATTTGACCTTCTGTGGTGTCTGGGTCTATTCCAGAGTACAATTGGAAGTTCCACTTTAGGCGATTAAGCCAAGTAGCAAGAGCTTCATCCTTCTCTTGTGCACTCTCGAATGCTAATTTGGTATTAGTTCCTTTGGGAACTGACTCTTTGGTCCCCTGTATTATCAAAGACCTATATTCCATCATGGCCTTCCTCCCTTCCTCCTGATCAGGGTTCCAGCTGGGATCCGTTAGTGGCAATTTTTGTTCACCTGATGGCACCTGGGGTCTTGGACGGTTATCTTTCTCCCAAATTCTTATGCCAGCCGCCCTAATCATCTGGACCTCTTCTGGGGAAAATAATATATTTAGAATGGAATTCATCTCCCCCCAAGTGTAGATATTTGGACCTAAGAATTGATCCACTTGGTTGGCTATGCCCACTGGGTCCTCAACTAAATGCCCTAACTCTTTCTTGAATCCTCTCACCTCAGAAGCTGTTAGAGGAACATTCACAAAGCAAACACCTCCCACAATTCCTCCCATAGGAACTTCTCTGAGGGGGAAAAAGTCTGTCTGCCTTGGAGGTCCTGGATCTGGTACTACAGTATGGCCCATCTTCAGATGCCAAACTGTCCCGTTCTCGGCTGTTTTTGATGGCCTGGAAAGGTTCGGGATGGCCTTGGGACAGCCCGCGCTCCAAAGGACGAAAAGAATCTTCAGGTTTTTTCTCGGTCTTCAGTGTTTATTAGTTTTTATCTACAAAATTTTCTCTTGGCCCGACAGAGGTCGGCACAGCACGTCAGCCATGAGCGCACTGAGAGCCCTCGAGGCGGTCACTTATCTTTATACCCAAAACTATGTATAAGATATTTACCTATTTTCCCCAATACCTTTCACCCTTATTGACAAGTGCACTTTTAGTAAGAACCAATCCCAAAGTGCCACCACCACCACAGAAGATGGACGACTAGAAGAAGAAGAAGAAGGACAGGACACGCCCTAATTCCTCCATCTTGTTTCTCTAGAACCCCCCTGTACTGAAATTCTAAAACCTGTGCTTCACACTATAATTAATCTATCCCTTCACCATTTATCCCCGTGTGATCCTCCCATCCTCATACAGGTGTCGTCTCATGTGCAGGATAAAGGCCAGCCACCAGACACTTCTGGCAACATTCCAGGACCTCCGAGTCCCCCAAGGATGGTCTCGGTGACTCTGCACATCAGGACTGCTGTGCTGAGATCCCACACCAAACTACTAGTTTGAGGGATATCTGGGTTACCTTGAACTTTCTGCAGATCAGCAGGTGTATTTTGTGATAACTGTTTACTGGGCAAGGAGGCATTTGTGTCCCAACTAGGAGGAGGTAAAGGGACAGCAATAGGAGGGGGAGAAGAGCTTGAATACATATTAAGTGGAGTTGGAGAAGGGGTGGAGAATGCAGCAGGTGGAGTAGGCACTTGTGGTGGTGCAGAAGGAACTGGAAGAGCCGAAGGGGGTTGTGAGGGAGTGGTTTCTAGGGGAGATACCGAGTCTACCATAGAGAAAGCCGAACAGGTAGAAGGAGGAATTTGAGTAGGCGGTAATGAGATGGCAGCTGGGGGACGAACTGGACCTGCCATTTGAGGTGCCTGAGGAAGAGGATTATAAGGTGGAGGGGCAGCAGGAGGCAAATAATCCAGGGGGTCCCATCTTTTACCAATTCCAGCATCCCCTCCTTCATTCCCCTCTTTCTTCTTCTGTACCTTACAAATTTGCACACGTTCATCCCCAATAGCGCTTTTTAACCAGCAAGCTACATACAATAATTGCTCAGGATTGGTATCTCCTCGAGCTGTCAGATAATGATTTAGTTGTTGGCACATCCACTTGTCCCTTGTAGCACAACAAGACCATCCTCCTTTCACCTCTAATTCTGGCCAGACTTCTACACAGTAGTGGATCATCTTCACCTTATCTAATCTCTCTGTGGCCTCTATAGAATCCCATTTCACTAACAGTTCCTCTAAGGGGCTATTTGGAGGTATATTCCTCAATCTCTTGCCTGTCTTCTTACTATTACACCCTCCCATTTTTCAGGTCTCAACAGAAAAAAATCCCAAAGGTGCCTCTACTGGCAGGCAATCTCCAGAAAAATCTTGTTTGAGGAGCTTCAGCCTCCTCCACTGAACTTCAAATTTTTGCCTGACGCTCAGGACTTTATACTAAAACAACTGCCTGATCTCTTGATTGCCTAACTTTACGAATGTCAGGTCTTAGATCTATCAGGACTTAAAAACACGAAACCTCGGCATAAGAAGACAGTTTGTGCCTGACTCCCCTCTGTCAGGAAAAACAGCTGCCTGATTTTTAGTTTGCCTAACCTTCCAAATGTTAGGCCTCACCGTATCAGGACTTAAAAACAAACCCCAGCTTCCTTCGCTGGGATTTGTGCCTGACCTCTTTGTCAGGATTTAATTTGCCTGCAGGGCTTGCGAGCTTGCCCGAGTTCTCCTCGGGACTTGCAATCTGCCTGACTTCCCTCTGTCAGGACTTTTGGGGTGCATGCCACTCATACACTATTTCCTCCGCACACCCGGAGGGGGGTCCTCTCTCCCCCTTAGGAGACGACTCACTCACGCTAATTCCACGCGCTTCCCCCTGTTCCCAGCCGGTCCCCTCACAGGTGTCTGAAAACGTGGTACTAAGGAGTCCACTCTCAGGTCAAGGGTCCGGCTGCCGGCCCTCGTCTCACACACACACACACACACACACTCGCTTGTCTCCTACTCCCGCCACCGGATAGTTCTCACCAGTCCGGCGCTCCTCTGCGCCACTGGTCCTGAGCCGATCTTCTCTGGTCCTGATAGCCAACTGTCCTTGAGGTCCAAGAGGGCCGGTCCTGGTGTCCTCTTCAGGGGTGGCTATCCCAGACGAGTCCCCAGCTGAAATAAACAGGGCAAAGAGACTTTTTCTTCTTGTAATGCCTTTATTAAAAGTGATCACCTCAAGGTTGGGAAGGCTGACGGGTCTGAAGTCTCCGTCATCTCTCCCAGGGTGACTCGCAGGAGGAGGATATGCGTAGCTTTGCCCACTAGGGGCAGAGCTGGCGGTCCAGTCCTCGTGGGAGCCTTGGGCATAACCCCGATCTCAACTTTCCACTGCCTCCCGGCTCCGGGTCTTGGTTTCAGATGATGTCCTTGCTCAGCGTGAGGGGCAACAAAGGTTTTCAGCATCTCTGCAGGCTCAGCACTCTGTTCCTCACATCTAGACATCACTCTAATTTCCTAATTCTGTATTGGCTGGTTGTTTTTGGGGTCTTTTTGGTAAGTTTGACACTTCCCATGGCATGCTGGTCCTGAAGTTATTTTGCATCTTGCGATGCCCCCCTCCCATGTCTCGTCCCCTCCCCTCACTGTCTGGGGAAAAGAGCCATTAACTTAGCCCTAGCCAGGGCCTTTACTGATACAAAAGGAACCATTAACTGTTGCGGTTTTCCAGCCATTTGTCTGGTGCCGGGAAAACTCGGGGCTCAATATGAGTCATCAGCAAGTTCTGTTTATTGAAGAGAGCATCAGACACTTATACAGCAAGTAATAAGCTCATGAATATTCTGTAATTTACACCGTCCATTGGCCACACCACAACATCAGCTCTTCCCCATTCCTTAGGAGTTACATCTCTCTTTTCTCAAGTCTCTTTCACTATTTGTTATCATACTACAGCTAGGCCCAAGGACATGCTGTCTTGTAGGTGCAGGACTTGGAATTAGCCATGGCCTTGTACTTTTCCAGTCTCTAGTCAGCTAAAATCCCAACATTTCCCCCATTTTCTTTTGGAACAAGCAAAGTTCTATGGGCTAACTGCATCACACTCTTTGCAATACAAGAATAGGCAATTCCAACAACTATTACGTTACAAGCAGTATTCTCAACTAGCAAGGTTTCTCTCTTACAAGGGATCTAAGCCAGGGAGACAAACCGAAAAGGCTATCACTATTTATAGGGTATGCCATACGACAGATACAAAAAGGATTCTATGCTGCTACAAGGCTCAAACAAAATTCAGGCGTGCTAATACAACTTACAAAAATAAGCTAAAGGAGCAACATGTCTGCAGGTTTCATCTGCGTCGATTGTCTGGTAAGTTTGCTTTCCATTCTCCAACAGCAGATATACTTCAAACAGGAATGGCTCTACTCACAAATGCCTCTGATTGTCTCTTCTAACGAGAGTTTCTCTGATGTTCACGACAACACTTTTCACACAAGTCATAAAATAAACGTCTAGCATAAATCTATCTAACATCACTTGAACTTAATAGCACTTAAACTTAAAACACTTAAAATATTTAAACTTAACAGAACTTAACATCACTTAAACTTATCTTTACTTAAACTTAACAGAAATTAAACTCAACAGAACTTTAACTTAGCAGAACTTAAGTTTAACAGACCTTAACCTTAAAAAAATTTAACTTTAACAGAACTTAAACTTAAAAGATTTCCAAATCAACAGAACTTACATGTAAAATCACTTAAATTTAACAAAACTCAACTTTAACAGAACTCAACCGACTTAAAATTTTACATAATTTAAACTTAATATAATTTAAATGTAATAGAATCTAACTTCACTTAAACTTAATAACACTTAACAGAAATGAAACTTAAAAACACTTAACTTTAACAGTATTTAACATTTAATGACACTTAATAGACAATTTAACTTAAACTACTTAGCAACGGATAGAACTTACTGTAGAAATAGAATAGAATATAGAATTTACTATAACTTACTTACAGGCCTAACTCTAAAATACTAAGCTAAAACATCTTTCTTCGTGTGTTTGCTACAGCATTTTTACACTTGAATGCACCTAAACATAAGGAGTTTGTTCAAGGTATACCTGTGGAAAAATTCTTTTGAATTCAGTGCTTGCTTTTTACATCTACTACATCTAAGCAAGGCCCAAAGAATACAAAAAGCACACTTATTACATCTTACTTATACAATCACTTGAACACATCTTTAACATTTTTAAATTTTTCAAAATACAATTTCAGAGTTTGATGTTCCACTGACTGAGTTATCTGGGCTTCTGATGTTTAAAGTCTATGTTAATACAGGTGATTTTAAGGCAGCATAATGGATGCTAAGCCAAATCGTCCAAAATTTGGCTCAATGCATTCACCACACTGATTTCTCTTTCACAGTCTCTGCCAGGAAGAACCAAAAGTCTTTTTTAATCTAGGTGAGGAGCATCTTGATAGTAATGCTCCTTGGTGTTGCTTATTTATCATCACTGGTCTCTTAACTGCTTCGTGCGCTGGAAAGGCTGGGCTCATGCGGACTCTTGAGTTGTCTCTGTCGCCAAGCGCTGGCTGGCGGCACCGAGTTTTGTGCACCGGAGACACTGTGCATGGCGGCGCTGGCTCAGCAGCGGAGCTATACTTGCAGTCTGTTAAGGTACAGTCTGTTTAGGTTGCTAAGTCAAAACTAAGGCCCCCACCAGCTGTGGGGCGGAGGGAGAAGCGCTCGCACTGGAAAAGCGCTCTAGTCCGTGCTCTGCTTGTGTTGGAGTGGGGCGACCCCCCAGCGCTGGACTTCCTGTTTTGGGAGACGCACCGGCAGGCTGAATCACTGCGTGTGCCAGACTCGCAGCACAGCATCCGCGGCGGCGTAGGTTACTCCCCCCGCGGCGGGGCTCCGCTCTCCCCGCCACTGCCGCCTCAGGCGAGCTGCTCGCCGTGGCTGCTCCCCATGGCGCAGCGCCCATGCTGAGTTTGGAGTGGCACAGCCTGGCAGGCGCCCCGAGCCGTGGCTGCTGCCACCATCACAGCACGGCCGCTGATTTATTGTGCATGTACTTGCAGCGCCAGCACCACAATGCACGTTTTTGCAAGTCTATATGCAGCAATCTTGGGAATTCTCTTATCAAGTCGACAGTCTATAGTCCCCGCTTTTCTAAAAAGCACTTAAAAGTCTATACGCCGCTTGTCTCTGTATTACCTTTTAACCTGAGATTCAGTGCGCTGCAGCCTTTCCAGGACGTTGGCGGCATTCAGTCAGTTGGACTCTCCTATGAGGTCGCCAGGGCACCGCAGCCGGCCCTTTCGCCTTTCGTCAGGTCTCCTATATAGGGTCGCCTGAGATGCGAGGCCCACTGTTTGTGCCTCCTGGGCTGCATCGGGACTGAAACTGAAATACTGCACTGGACCGTGGCTCGCAGGCCAAAGTCTTCTGTAAAGTCCGTAGGGTCTGTAGGGTCCGTAGGGTCTGTAGAGTCCATAGGGTCCCTGTTCGGGCCCCAATTGTTGCAGTTTTCCAGCCATTTGTCTGGTGCAGGGAAAACTCGGGGCTCAATATGAGTCATCAGCAAGTTCCGTTTATTGAAGAGAGCATCAGACACTTATACAGCAAGTAATAAGCTCATGAATATTCTGTAATTTACACCATCCATCGGCCACACCACATCAGCTCTTCCCCATTCCTTAGGAGTTACATCTCTCTTTTCTCATGTCTCTTTCACTATTTGTTATCATACTACAGCTAGGCCCAAGGACACGCTATCCTGCAGGTGCAGGACTTGGAATTAGCCACG